AGAACACTGCTCAAAAACCCCAGAATACTCAAGGAGGGAGTCAAAACTGTGTGGAAAAGTGTGGAATGACATCCAAATGACGTCCTATTTATAGGGATGAGGCGCAGTACGGCCCCTGGGTTCAATACGGCCCGTATTGAGTTTTTGTACTTCAATACGGCCGTATTGAATTCAGTACGGCCGTATTGAAATACAGAAACTTCAATACGGCCGTATTGGTTTCAGTACGGCCGTATTGTAGTACAAAATGTGCAGTACGGCCGTACTGAACTCCAAGGAGGCCGTATTGAGCTCCAAACCTCCCACTTCCTTATTTTTAGGTACTCTAAGACCTCTAAACCTACAGATAGCCATCCTTTGGTCTTCTAGGAGTCCTTCTGGCTGACTTTCTTTCGATCTTTGAGAGTCTTCGAGTCTTATTTCCGACCCGGACAATTTTAGGGGTCTACATGAGTCACCGAGAGGGATTGCCTTCAAAACCCTAGGAAATTCCCTTAGTTTCCTACCTCTTGCCTTCCTAGCATGATTCCTTCTCTAGCCTAGGCTTTCTTGCTTCGTGTTCCTCGATCAATCAAGCTTCATCTATTTGGTTAAAGTCTCCAAGAAGAAGATCCTACGCTTGGTGAAGTCAAGGAGGAGTTCATCCATCACTTCTCCTAGCTTCTCCATCAAGTTTGGAACAACCCGTTCTGGTCTAGGAACGGCCCGTTCCAGAACAAGTTTTTTGGGCTTTTTGATTGGTTTGGAATCCTTCATTCCAACCAAGATTCATTAAGCCTTTTAGGTGCCTCAGAACGGCCTGTTCCAATTTACGTTCTAGATTTGGGAACGGCCCATTCCTATTTTGGAACAGCTCATTCTGGGCCACTAAAGCTAGTTATTTTGGGCTTTCGGCCCTCTAATGTCCTGTCTTATTGTTTTCCTGCTTTGGGTGTTCCTTTCCTTGATAGTATATGTCCATTTCTTTGTTTGTATGCCCCCGAATGAAATTGGGTGTCTATAGATGAGTATTATTTTGAAGCCACTTCTGGCTTTCATCTTGTAATCCATTCATGTAAGCTTGCTTATTTTTGCTTGGCGAGTTTTGTTCTGTCTTGTTGTTGATGTGTCCTTTCTCTTGGTTCCTATATGAAACCACTAGTATTGAGTGCCCTTGTAGAGTTAGGCTTCTAACGCCTTCTTGTTGACACGTGGCTTTACTTGATGGTCGAGCTTTCTGGCGCTTGTGGGTGCTTTTGGCTTAAGAGTTCCCCATGACAGCAACAAACAAAACAAGGATGCAAAATGCAAAGAGAGTACAAAGCAAGAATGGATTGGATGATCTTTTTTGGTGTTGTTGTTTTTTCTTCTTTTTCTTTTTTTTTTGTTTTTTGTTTTTTTATACCCTTTTCTGCATCCTTGTGCCATATGCATGTTATGCAATGATGCCTTTGTGCTAATGCTTAAATACAGATTGATTTCACTTTCAAGAAATTAATCTATGCGCATTAATTATCAGTGTAGATTGTTAGCCTTTAGCCATGTCAAATTCATTCCAAGTGTTGCTTCTTGAACCTAAGGTTTGTGTAGTTCGGCCCTCTCGCCTGTACCAGATATGATATATTAGCCCTTAGATCATTGTACCTAGACTTTGTTCTAAGACACCTCCAACTTCTCCCTGTGAGTGTTTAATGAGCATATTCCGTGTATCTCTCAAATTTATCTTAATGCCATATACGTTAAGAGGAAAGAAAGGAAGGCGATATATACATTTTTTTTTCGCAAAAGTTTCGTTAGAAAGGATTTTTTTCAAAAATGGCTTTTAGAAGAATGGCTGGCCGAGGTAGGCTAGTGGTATAGGCTGATGAAAAAACACGTTCAAAGTGAGGAAATCATTTTCTACGTTAGCTCATTAATTCCTTCAAAGTTAAGCGATGACATGGGATTGTGTATTAATTAAATGATCTTCCGGAGCCGTCTTTCAATTTTTAGCTCGAGATGCTGCTTTGTCCTAACTTTTGCCTAGGTTACTTGAGATGTGTTCCTTAGCGGACATTTTCTTTTTAATCCTATCTTTTTCCTAGGTTACATTTTTATTTGGGTCTCTTAACGGACCTTGCCCTAATTTTTGTGCAGCCTCCTTAGTGGGTTCTCTACTGGGATTTTGTCTTTCCAACATTTGTGATCATCTTTCATTCCTTCATTAAAGGGGGATGCCCCTTGCACTGATTTTGTTTGGACTTTTGTCCACAAGTCATGCCAAATTTGATGGATCTTTATGTGTTCCTTATCGCGTATTAAGCCATTATTTCTAATGACGTCCCTATTTCAAATGTACTTGTTCATTTAAGGTTCGTTAATGAGGGTTAAAGTAGATAAAAGGGAGAAGAGAAATGAAGAAGACTTGATTATTCTGGGGTTTTTGAGCAGTGTTCTGCCCTAGAAATCTCTCTGGGAGTCGATCCGACGAAGTTCTTGAGTCACGAGCCATTTGCTTGAGTCTCGA